TGCTGTTCGCATTCGTATTTTCCAATCAAAGTGGTTGAAATTCAAGATTTTAGAGGATAAAATACCACTTCTTGGCAGATATTTATTAGTATATGGTAATATAGGTTCCATATAATGGTAACCATAGCATTTTTGGTATTTTGAGAGTTATATCTAAATGTTTCAGGCTGGAAGAATATCCACCCTCCCCCATTTTCTAATCATCTTGATGCTCCTGGAACCTTGAAGAATATTTTCAATATTTGGTCATGTTTTTACATAGCTGCCCTCTTTTAGGTATATTTAAGGTTATAGCCGCATTATCGAACCGATGGATCTGTCAATTCACATTTCGGTTTACCAGAGTATAAAATACCTTTCGGTCAGAATATTTTTTTAATAAAAGTAAATATAATTATACAACAATGGATCTGCCTCATTTTATGCCTAAGTGGTAATATGCAAACATAATCGCTATGTTTGTAACACCTAGAAATAATCCCAAGACCCCATAAAATATATATGCCTGTTCTTTTTTGGAATAAAATTCTATATCGATTTAGATATCTCCGCCTGTCTATGCGTCCGTCCGTCCCCTTGTTACGATAGAGCTTTCAATATTTAAGATAGAGATTTGAAAATTTGTACTGATATTGGTAGGATTCCAATGTGTATTTTGAGATTTGTAACTGCATTTTCCAACCGAAAAAGTCTCTAATCTGCAGAAACTGACCGTTACAGGCCTATGTTTCGTTATTTTAGCCACATATTCCAAACGATTAATTGTAATTTGGTATTCTAGGTTCTAATAGATAAGGTGACCATACGTCCTCCTTTTTAGAGGACAATTATCAATTTTAACTGTATGTCCTCTATCTGTCATCTATTTCTATAATCTGTCATCAATATTTAAAACAACGTTGATCAATATTTCTTTTTGTAAATTAATAAATAGATTTTATAAAATTTCAGTGAAATATTTAGAAAAGGTATTTCAGGATTTTTAGACAAATTTCAATATATATATATATATATATATAAATTATTACATTTTAGTATTTTCAATGTTTTTGGACACGTTTTGATATTTTGGGTTCTATGTTTCTAGATGTCCCGAAATATAAAGAAACCACATTTTTCTAAATTTTACGAAAATTTGCCTTCCAAAGGGGTTGTAATTACTCTTCCTTGTTGGTGGTTACAAACCCATATGGGTTACAAAAATATTCCTTATTCGATTTGACTGAATACCTGTTACTTCAAAAATAACTTGCATTATCCGCCAAGGACTTTCCGCAAAACATAAAGCTGTCTGCAAATTGTTTCAAGCAGTTTTCCATCCATCCATTTAAAAGGCACTTTGCCAACTTCACCAAATTTGATTAGGTCTAACAGTATTCCCACCAATAAAATCACCACAAAAAGAAAAAAACATTTATTTTTGGAATATACTTTTTTTTGTACTTAAATTTTATTTTTTATTCATTTTTTTGTATGTTTTGTTCTTGTCAATTACATTATACTGTTGTTGTTGTTATTATTATATACTCGTTTTCTTTTGTTACTATTATTTGTTGTCCTTGTTGTTGTTGTTTTATTTATTTAAATATATCTTGTGAAATGTTAAGCAAACTACACAGATCACACTTATAAACATTTAAAGCTTTGCCATTATTTGTTACGTTTGTTCTTCTATTTGTTGTTGTTGTTTTTGAAATAGCTCCAATCATTTGTTCAAAATTTTCGAAATCGTTTCATTGGATTTAGTTTCATTCCTTTTAGTTTTCTAAATTATTTGTTACTGTTGTTTGTTATAATTATTTTGTTTGATATTTATTTTTTTAATATATTATTTAATAATAACAACAAATTGAAAAAATGGAAATAATTACAATTATATATATCATGTTGTTAATTATTGAAAAAATATAAATACAACAACAAACTATCATAGTAATTTATGTTCTTTGTTAACGAATTTCCAGTTTTTTAGGAGAAAAAAATTATAAAATAATAACTTGTAATACTATATATGACATTAATATTAAAATATATTATTTATATATGAATGTATAAGGAAAATTATATACAAAAGTTGTGTTTTTTTATAACAATGTTATCTTTGTGATAAATAACAATTTATAACAAAAAAATTAAATAATCTATATTATACACAATTCAATTAAATATCCTGATCTTATTGTAATGGTCCATATCAATTGTAAGCATGTTTATTTGGATTACAAAGAAACATCGTTTTGGAAAATCATGAATAATAGTACAGAAACTGTTCGAAATTAAAGTACCTGAAAAAGTCGAGCGTTTACTGAGTCGAAATTTTATTACCTAAAGGAAAGTAACAAGGGTACACAAGTAGCGATCGTCAAATAAGAATAAGTACCCACACTAACATATGGAATTTGAGGGGACTTACAACTACAAACCAGAATTAGTAGAGGTTTGAACCAGAAAAGTCTTGCTCTTGGCCTATGAAAGACCTTCGATATCGTTAATCAAGTCAAGACGCCGGTATATTTCAAAATATTGTCCAGACTGGGAACATATTCCACAGAAAATTAGAGTTCCATGGTTGTTGTTATTATTGTGACAGTTTGGCTGTCTCGTTTTCCCTGAAATGATTCAACGATTTTTTTATTTGAATTTGTGTCTACTATTGGTTTGGGGATGTGGGGTTGAATGTGGGAGGATTTGGTAAATTGAGGATGGTTATTGTATTACAATCGGTCGATGTCAGATGGAATGATTTCCTAGGGCATTATTGTGTGTGCTTTGAATCATTCTCCATTGCGAATCGCTGACGAACGAAGTCCAAACTGGGGCAGTGTAGTTAAGGACAGATCTACTTACAGCTTTGTAAGTGATTAGGAGCACGTCCTTGACCATGTGGTACCCGAGATGGCTTTGAGACCCTTGTTTCGCTTCTGGACTTTTATTTTCAGCGCTGCGGCGTGTCTGGAGAATGTCAGGAGGCTATCGAAGGTGACACCTAGTATTCTGGACCGTTGGAATGATCCTGCCACTGATCGATATGTTTAGTTGCCGCTTTACCACCTTGGCCCACGATGTAAACATAGTGACAGTTGATTTAGATGGAGAAATCTGCATGTTTCTATTCTGAAAAAATGTGGCTACCACTGCATGGCTACCACTATCAGCATAGGTGACGAGTTTAATACCATCTAGAAAGGAGGGAAATTTTGAAATGTAGAGGTTGAATAGCACGGGCAGCTTTTCGACTTTTACGGTTTTTGTCTCCTGAACTCAATATATGCTTGGTGTTGTTATTGTAGCAGCTGCTACTGCTGTGCATTTCTCCTTAAATTCTTCAATCTGGTTCTGCTTTTAACACCATGTTGATCTAGAGGCTCCCTTCGAGTCAAACCAACGTCAAAGTAGACTGCCATGAGAATCAACTGACGAAGACAGATGAAGCTGGCTCTGATATCAGAAAGACGAGTGCTGATTTGGAATTTTCAGCAAAGATTCCAAAGGCCCAACAGCTATTTGCGAAAGATGACAGCAACAGATGGTAATAAGCCGCCGTCTTATGCCAAGGTTGCCAGGAAACGCTATCGAGACGAGCTCTGCTATGCAGTGATCGACAGAAATAGCGCGAATTTGAAACTCCAAAAAGCATATTCGATTAATCGAAAGTCAATTTACTTATCCCTATTTGACAGACTGACGGGCATGACTAAATCGACATAGAACTTTAATCTGATTACCGCTATTTGACAGACGGACAGGCATGACTAAATCGACATAAAATTTTAATCTGATTATGAATATACTCGTATATATTTTATGGTGTCGAGGTGTTGCAATCGGAATGACAAATTTAATATACACTCCACAATATTTTGGAGGGAATAAATAGTTATAGTCACATCGAATCCAATGTAGCCTCTTTCCGGTTAGTCGTGGGACACATTACATTTGTATTGAAATGATAAAATCAAATAGTTTTCATAAATTCATCTTCTAAAACATATAGTGGAAGTCTACAACTGGGAAGATGAAAGTCGCAAACGAGGCTGTGTGTAAATATTTTCGCATAAGGAATGACGAATTTAATATACACTCCGCCATATGTTGGAGGGTATAAATAGTTGTAGTCAAATTGAATCCAATGTAGCCTCTTTCCGGTTAGTCGTGGGACACATTTGTATTGAAATAATAAAATCAAATAGTTAAGATAAATTCATCTTCTAATAATAATAAAATTAACTAAAAATAAATAAATTACATCTAAATTTAATATACATATAATCTATGTGTTACTTATAAAATATTATATTATATCATATATTTTGTTAAAAACTATAATCAACAACTTAAATATAACAAATATATAACAAATTGTTTTTATATATATACATATTAATACACACACTCTAACACCTTATAAATGCTCTTTAAGAGTAACGAAATGTTCGAAATCAAACTAAAAAATGAATTAAAAACTAATTTCATAATTATACATATATAAATCTATAAGTACACATATGTATGTATGTTTATAATTAATATATGATTATTTGTGTGTGGTGTGTGAATTTATTTTGTTGTTTTTTTAAATTTACTCAGTCATACAATAAAAAATTAATTCATCACTTTTGCTTCTTGTTCATTTAGTTTGTGGTTAGGTTTGTTAATTGTTTTTTTTCTCTACAGCTGATATACAGTGGGTCTTAATGCAAACGGAAAAAAACTTGAAACCACAAAAACATTTTTGGAAAATCGTACAATTACCCATTGGCAAAGCAGTATCCCGTGACGGTTGGAATTTCCTTTCATTGTTATCCCATTTTGGTTTTTGCTTTCAAATTTTCTTGTTGCTTTGCAAACCACTGTGTAACGCTCGCATTTACATTTCTCTAAATTTGTTAACAAGTTTATCGTCTCTCTTTGTTGGTTTTTTTGTTAGTTATTTGATGTTATGTTCTGTTATAGAGTTTTATAGTTATTTTTTTTTAAATTTACTTTTTGGTTTGTTTTTTAATATAAAAATCAATTAAAATGTTCTAATTATTATTAATTACTAAAATTGTAATTGTTACAAAAAAATTTAAATGGTTTCTAACATTAACAATTATTGTTTGAACACAAACAGTCCAGTTGGATCCCATTCGCCATCCTCATTGGGACCAAAACACTCTTCAAAATACCATTCCATGGTTTGGTAGACATGAGATATAGATTTTAACATTAAATGATCCTCATCAGGATAAACCTAGAACAAAAAAGTAAATATTAAGAAAATTAAATTAAAATCTGAAGATCCTAAAAAATATTTCATGGTGTAATCTGATAATCCTTGAAAAATAGTTATAAATAAAAATATTATATAACAAATTTACTCTTAAAATCCAAGCTTTTGACTCTTCGAAGCATTTTTAAATCCATACCCCTGTTCGGACCTAATCCGTGAAAAATATTCGTAAAAAGTCCACGCTTATTGCACAGATAGTCTACGAAATATATTGTTATTAAATCTACCATAATCCATTACCTTTGATAATCCTTAGGACTCAAAAAATCCTTAAAACCAACACTAAAAATTTCGATTGATGTTAGGAGGATTCTATGCATCGAAAACGGCTAAAACAGATAGTGGAAGTCTACAACTGGGAAGATGAAAGTCGCATACGAGGCTGTGTGTAAATATTTTCGCATAAGGTCATCTTAATATATTAGAGCTTAGTGATAAGTGAATGACTGACAGACAAAACGGTTATTGGTGTGTAGGCGTGAGATAAGGCTGGGTTTTTGGAAATTCGAAATAAAAGTGTACGAAATGTATGTAACGTGCCAAAACGTGTATGTAACGTGCCACATACATACAAAACGTTACCCATCATAGCAACGACTTCGCACGACGTCCAAATGAGTACTAGGAACGAGTGCATAGACATTTGCTTGCGTCAGCTACTCAATCATATAATACTCATTCACGTTGTGACTCCGCAAACTGAAGTATTTCACTTTCATCTACTGAGGGCGGCTTGCCATTGCATAGGCTTGCTATTTTGTGTTGTGGATGTTCATTGCACTTACGATCATTCACAATTCTTTTTGGTGGCTACCCATTGTGGAGGTTAAATAAATACATCCACACAGAGGCTTCGGCTTACTGTTCGGTAAGATGTTTTTAGAAATTCATACGTATGTGTATGAAAAGTACTAAGTAGAACTAATTTGGTACTATTTGCATTTATTTGGGCGTATATAGATCGAATTTTCAAAATAGAAACTATTGGAGTACAGGAATGAGGTAGCTTTAGAAAATTGTACTTATGTGTACGAAAAGTACTAAATTTGGTACAAGTTGGATTTAGTTGAACAGATAAATCTGGAGTCTTATAATTGGGAATTAAAATGACTATTGGAGTGTAGGATTAAGGATGGAATTGAAATTTAGATTACTGTTTGAGTGTAGGTTAAGGGTAATTTTGGAAATTTGTACTTTTGGGCACTAAATTGTACTACATATGATACAATTTGTTTTTATGTACACGAATGGAGCTGAAATCCTGAAATATGGAAGGTGAAAGGATAAAGATGGAAAAATTAAATTTGGAATTACAATTATTGTTAGAGTACAGGATTGAGGTAGTTTTGAAACGTCTACGAAAAGTAATGGTACTAAATTTGGTACATTTTTGTTGTTGGTGAACCTATAGAGCTGGAATCTTTAAATGTGGACATAAGGGGGAAACACATACGAGGATTCTGGCCTGTCCTGTTAAGTTTGCTTCGTATGAATTGTCAATTTATAAAGGAATATCAGAGCCCAACTTGAATTTAGACGCTGTTATCCCTTATTCTTTTACAATAAAAGCAGCCAACTTAACATGCCAAGCCAGAAAGTCCTCTTATGTGTTTCCCCCTTTAAAATTATTATTGGTGTGCATGACTGAGGTAGTTTTAGAAATTTGTATCTATGGGTGCGAAAAGTACTAAATTTGGTACAATTTTGACATTGGTGAACGGCAGAATTGAAATCCTAAAAGTTGCAACTGAAATTACTGTCGGAGTGTAGAATTGAGATAGTTTTGGATTGGGATGAGTACGAAAAGTAAAGCATGGTACCAAATCTAGTACAATTTGGATTTTGGTGAACAGATAGAGCGGCATTTCTTAAATTTTAAATTACGGTTACTATTTGAAAGCAGGATTGATGTAGTTTTAGTAATTCGTACTTATGGGTACGAAAAGTACTAACTTTGGTACAATTTAGACTTTGGTGGAATTAGGATTATCGTTAGTGTGTAGGATTGATTGAATTTATGTGTACGAATGGTACCAAATGCATAAAATTTGGAACAATTTGGGTAACTGAGAGAGCTGGAAATTTGGAATGTGTGTCACTGACGAAGAGTTAAAAAGAAGTACCAACGGGGTTTTGGTACTAACTGATACTACATTTAGTGAAATTAGAAGTACGACATGGAAGTAGTCTTGTGTATAAAATATTGTATATTAGTTTTATATTGTATTCCCTTTCCCCATACGAAGTTGCGGGCACTTCGCTAGTAGTAGTATAAAAGCGAATTAAATAGCTGAGCTTGCTTGCTGTGTACCGAAACACAAATTCCATCTGACAGATTATTCGGGATGTAAATCTATATCATTTATTACCCGGGAGATGTGCTATACAATCAGAACCCAAAACTCCAAATTATAGACAACTCGGTTTCCAAATTACAAAAAAAAAACTAGTATTGGGTGGTACCACAGAAGGGGGTGGTGAAACTTGAGTCAATATTAAACATTTTTAGTACGAATATGTGCCAAAATTTATATGAACCCAAAATTGAAAAACATGCAATATTTGCAATATCCCCGGAGTACTAGCAATGTCTGTGCAAAATTTCAGAGCACTATCTTAAGATTTTACAATCTCTATCGTGATTTCAACAAACGGCCGACAGACGGACATTTAGCAGATAACCACCGTTGGTAATTTCGTATGTCGTTTGGCCATTCATAATATTTTGGAAGTTTTCGTTGCCCAGGTTTTAAATGCCGGTCATGGACTGTTTCCTTGACGGTCACCTCGGTAATATTACAATGGAAATATGGAGCTCCAAAAATTACTGTGGTCGCTTTGGTTTGGCACGATTTGTAACAATTACCGACAGCTTAACTGGTGAAGCCCAGGTGAGATCGCCAATTGAGCAGTCATTATTCAATTTAGCCGTAAGTTTAATTTGAGTGGGCTAAAAATCCAACCTTGTTGATCGAAGGGTCGTTAAAAAAATTAAAACATGCACGCTTTTGACTTTGAAGTCCTTGCTTATATACCTAATGATCCCTTAAAAATACTGGAAATAATAATTGGCATTTTCAAAATCTCATTTATAGTTAAATATTTACTTATTCTTGATTTTTCTCACCTGATGTCTAAATTTAACTTCTTGATCCACTAAAGCTTTGACCAACATTAACGTATGGTCCTGATGTACTAAAGTATCAGCTGTACCATGTATTAGCATAAGATTTCTGCCCTTGATGTTACCAGCTTTCATTGTTAAATCGGCCTCTTGCAGAGCACGTAAGTAATCACCCTTCAGCGGTATATAACGTTCCGTAAAGAATGAATCTAAAACAAGGAGGTCGAGGACAATATGAATATAATGTCGTCTAGCTTCTTACAACATCGCATCGCGTATCCGACTACTTACAATGATAGGCAAATGATGATATAGGATTCACGGCCACACCACACTGTAACACTTGCTGTGAATCGTCGATGAGTGTCATTGCAGTTGCATAGCCACCATAGCCCCAGCCGTAAGCACAGATACGTGAGGGATCAATGAATTTTAAATTATCACGTAAATATCTAAAAGGGATGGAAGACAAAAGAGGAACATGAATATTGTTGTATTTTGCTAAAAGCTGCTGATTGTTGTTGTTGGTGTACATACGTTAAGACCGCCAATTGATCCTCCACCTCAACGGTACCCAATTTGCCATGAACTTGTGTACGCAAAAGTTCACCCTGATAGCCGCTGCCGCGTCCATCAATTTGTGCCACCAAAAAGGAACGTTGACTGCTCAAATACCAATTCCAGGTGACTTGGAAACGTTCACTAACCAGCTGGGAACCGGGTGAGGCATCGCTGTGAGGGGAAAAAATAAACATTAAAAACAATAAAATCGTAGTACATATTTTCCAAAACCTACATTTGCAATATCAGGGGAAAGGCCACTTCCTCATCCTCCTTCATGCCGGGTGGTAAAAACAACTTCACCTGAGCATGGAAACCATGACGTATTTCCACATTAAATGTTCGTATCTGTGGCAATGCATATTGCATTAAACGATTCCGTAAACTATCGCCGGCATTTAGCACCAGAGTCTTTAAATTCGTTTGTGTCTCCACCAGATAAACACTAGGCGATTCTGGTCCCAAACACTCCTGGACATAGTACGAGAAATCTTTACTGAAATACACCTTGTTATAGAGACAATTTTTGGGTATAACATAGACCAAGTCCGCCTCATCTTCGTCCACATCTTCTGGTTCCATGGCGGGTCGCCCATTTCGCAGCTTAAAGGTGGAGGGGGTATTGTCACAGGTCAGACATGTGGGTTGTGATGAGGTAATATACGTCCGATTGGTTTTCGTCACATTCAACTTAAGGCTGATCTTGTAGAGGTGCCGTTCACCGGGACGCTTCTCAGGAGCAGCCATAAAGTAGACAATTTCGTTGTCCTCATCCCAACCGACAAGTTCGGTTACTTCGAAACGACCCATTGTGAGCGGTACGGTACGCTTGTCCAGCGATGAGGTGAATACCACGTGCCTAAAATGCCCATGTTCGCCATCGCGCACCGGAAGACGTTTCAGCAGATAACCACCGTTGGTGATTTCGTAGGTCGTTTGACCATTTGTGATATTTTGGAAGTTTTCGTTGCCCAGTGTCTGATTGCCGGCCAGCGACTTGAGAAGCCTGTTGTGCTTTTTGGCGAATATTGGTTTTTCGTTTGGCAGCACCCAACCATCGTTGACGGTCACCTCGGTATTGGCAATGTTACAATGGAAATCGGGAGCGCGACAAATTACTGTGGTCGCTTTCGTCTGGGCACGATTTGTAACAATTACCGACAGATCAATTGGTGAGGCCCAGGTGAGACCGCCAATATAGCTGCCATTATTCAATTCAGCCGGAAGTTTAATTTGTGTGGGGAAGATGTACTTAAGGACGGAAAGATTCACTACATTGACAGTTATGTTGGGATTTTTGGTACCAGCCTTGGGATAGCGTTGTGTTAGAACGGCTGGATATTTGAGATCATCACCCATCCATGTGTATCTGAAAAAAAAATTGGATATTAAAAAAACTCCTATGAATACCCCGATACGACTTACTTGTATTCACTAACTTCACTATCGTTAAAGGTTAAAAAGGCCAAATACATGGCATCCGGCGAGAAGGCCATACTGCTGCCACGACTATCCAATTCGGGTATATTTTCATATGTCCAATCCGGTATGCCGTTGTACACCACACCAGGTTGTCCTGAAAAGGAATAACAACAAAATATCAAACAGATGTTCTAAAAAAGGCCTCAAATACTTACCCGTCATTGTAATACGACACACCAGCTCACCCTGCACCTTCGGCTTGTAGTAGATATCATTCTCATGTACGAAAGCTATTGCCTGATTTTGGGCCAGTACTCGATTATTTTGCAATAATTGTTGGGGGTTTTGTTGTTGTTGCTGCAGTTGTATGGGTGGCGGTGGTTTAACTAAATTTGCTGCCACATTTACACCATTGGCTAAACTACTGAGGAGAATACTATTTGTGGGTGTGGGTGAAATTGTTGTTGCTGATGCTCCTGCTGCTGTAACAGTTGCAGTCGCTGCCGATGGTGTTGTAGAAGATGGTAAATTGTTGTTGTTGCTATCAATACCATTACTATAACCACCGCCATTGTTGCCATTGCTGGGAGTAGCTATTGGATTATATGGTGCCCATAAAACATATTGCAAACGCGGTGCTTCGGCAATATTTTCAGTTGGTCCCAAGGGAAAAACATTTTCCGATTGCACTTCAAAGACATGATGCCTAAAAAATGTTATAAAACATGTATTTAATATAAAAAATAATAGAACCTTCAGGTAGAAGGTACTTCTGAAAATCCCTTCACCAAATCCGTTGTAGAAAACTGTTCGAATTTTGAATTTTCCTATAATTATGCTGGCCCTGTGCCTATATTGGAGATTTTTTATCTGAAACCAAAATATAATAATGCGGCCTATTTTGGTTGAAAAATTCGGAGTTAAGTTAGTACCAGACCGAAGTTCTTATATATATTCCACAATTCTCCTCCTTCCCCTCAAAATTCAGCTGTAAAAACCCGTTCGAACCTTTGAATTACATAAAAAACTGATCCTATGCTCATATATTGGACAAGGAGTACCTTTATCCGAGCCCAAAATCTAAAAATGTAGTCTCTTTAGTTTTAAAAATACCGAGTTAAGTTAGTAACCTGGCCGAACTTCTTATATATCTTCTTCAATTCTCCGCCTTTTCCTCCTACAATTCCGCTGTAAAAAAAAACTGTTCAAACCTTTAAATTATCAAAGATTAGGCTTGCATATTTTGGATCAGGGGTTCTAAAAATGAAACCTCTTTTGTCCGCTGCAAAAAAACTATTCGAACCTTTGAATTACCTAAAATTAGGATGTCCCTGCGCCTACCTTTGAACCCGTAGACCCTTTATCCGAAATCTATAAATGCAGACTATTTTCGTTGAAAAATGCGGAGTTAAGTTAGTAACCTGGCTGAACTTTTTTCTTCTATACCTTCCTCAATTCTTCTCCTCCTTAAATTCCGCTGTAGAAAAGGTATTCAAACCTTTGAATTATCTACAATTAAGCTGGCTCTGTACTATATAGGGCCAAGATAGACAAACATATCTGTAGAATATGTTAACTATGGGTGATAAATATATCTGTAGAAAATGTTAAATGTAGGTCCATGTTTCGAAATATCCCCCATATAAAGGCTCTACCCCATTTTCGGTATATTGACGTTTTTAGCCTCAATTTTTTTTTTACCGAAGAGGCTGTAATTTGGCATTTTAGGTTTTGGAAGGGCATTACACGCTGCGGTACAGGCAAAAGTAAACGAGATAGACACATATTTTGAGAATATAAGAATATGGTTCTGAGTCGATTTATGCATGTCCGTCTACCTGTCTGCCTGCCTGTCGATGTTAAATTGTAAACAAAGATGAAATTTGGCACAGCTCATCTATTTGGCCCAAGGACGAGCCCTATTGGAATTGGGAAAAATCGGTTCAGATGTAGATATAGCTCCCGTATATAGTTTCGTCCGATTTTATGTAAATTGTGTACCAAAGCCCGTATATATCTTTCGATTTGTACGAAATTTGGCATAGCGTACTAAATTAAGTCTAGAAGTAAATATAAATTATTCTCTGGCAAGTTTCGTTGAAATCGGTTCAGATTTAGTTATAACTCCCCAATATATTTTCGTCCGATTTCATGTAAATGATGCGCCAAACTCCTAATATATCCAAAGTGGAGAAGGGTATCATATAGTTGGCCCAGTCCGCCTTTACTACTTTCCTTACTGGTTAATATAGGTTTTTGTCTTGACAAGGTTTTGCCAGATTTTCTGTATTTTTGAAGGTTTTAGTCGCATTTCCAACTGTAACAAGCTTAATTTTCGGTCAGATAAAGTTCTTAGACCAGTTTTTCTACCTATGTATATGCATTGGCTGTAATTTGGCATTCCAGATTCCTGGTGAATAAAAAACTTTGTCCCGAAAATTGTCATTATAGGTACATGTTTGTTATATCCCAATTTTTTTATCTACAAGCAGATGATTTAGAATGATATAGTTTCAAATATAAGGGACACGGCAGATTTAAGGCATTTTGAATACACACTGCATGGTGAGGTGTATACAAAGTTCAGCCGGCCGAAACATACGATTTGTTTACTTGCTAGAAGATATATGAAGAACCATCGAGCACTAGGAGACCTGTGAAAAGCCTTCCAGTTATAAAGGTCATTAAAAATGTGTATTGGAGGTAATCTGTCTATGAACATGGGCTCATCGAAGATATTCTGTCTTCGGAATACTTGTATGACAATTCATGTACAATTTGAAAGGTATTTTGTCTATGGAATACCCCTAAAAATATACTACATATAACAAATAATTAATTATTCGAATTCCAAGTACAATTACCCATAAGTATTTTATTTTAACGTCAACAATTTTAAATATGTGAATTTTTTTCTTTTTTCAAATCGTCATAAATCAAATCACTTAAAATACTGGCTAGCTCGTGTTATGAACTAAAGATCAAACGATTTGAACAAAAATTTTAAATTAATATTTTTTCAGAATAATTTCAATATACCAATAAACTGAAGAATCAATTACCCTAAGTACACGATCGCTGCCGATGCGTCGCCACTACACCTCTATACCATTTATTTGGGACTATTTATATTGGCTGTTCTCTCTAATAGCTCAAATGTTTGTGTTTATACGATGAGTTGTAGATGATATTGGCCAATAAACAAATTGAAAATTAAATTTCAAATTTTATATCGATTCTGTCTGTCCGTCTGCTTTGTGAATATTGTTGGTGTCTGGCTTTTAGTTTTTTCGACTGCAATGTTTTCCCCATATAAACTTACCTTGATCCCTCCGCACTGCTGTCGTGTTGCAGTAGAACATATTTAAGATCTGGTGCTACTAGAAATGATTCAGCATTCAATTGCCTCTGTAAAATGAAGGAAAATAAAAAAACAAATATTAATGAAATTGAAATTTTGCATAAACAAAACACTATTTGTTGGCTTATTGTTGTTGTTGTATTTTTGAACATTCTTTTCAGTTTTATATTTAATTGCATTTTTTTGGAACTTACAAATGATGAGTTGGTCATTAAAACACGCGTTGTATAGTTATCTAAGTTTAATATAGACAGACCACCAGTGGGATCTCGAAAAACTAATTCATTGTCTGTAAAAAAAGAGCGAGGGAAAAAGAAAGAATATTGAATTAAATTAAAATTACAAATGTATGGCAAATAATTTTGGGGTTTTTATTTTGCATTATCAAAATGGGGAACATGGTATTTTACATGTTATTTGTTAAACGATCTGTGGGAGGTTTTTTATCTGCAAAACGCTTCTCTGGTGTCAAACTGGAAAAGGTATTTTATTCTATAGAAGACCTGGTAAAAAAATGACTCGAAAAAACCTTCACATACGACTATCTAGACCTAACTAAGCAGCGCAGGATTTACATAAAATCGGACAAAAGTGTATATGAGAGCTATATCTAAATCTGAAGCGATTCCAACAAAACTTCGCATACATAAATTTGGACCTAATTCAGTACGCTGTGAAAATCGACTCAGCAAATGATTCTATGCATATTCTCAAAAGGAACCATAGGTCTATCTCGATTATTTTTGCCTGTTACAAACATATTCACAAAGACACAACCCTGTACCGCAGAGTGGTGAAGGGTATAAATATCAGTTCATTATTAGGGGTTTTAATGGCTCTAGGCGCAATTTTATAACCGAAGCGACAATATTTTAGTACGCAATGTCAATAGAATCCTCCCTTTATGAAACTAAAATATTGTCACTTCGGCACAAGCGCCTGTCATTTTTAATATAAGACCATTTTCTGACACAATCCACATACAAAGGTCGTTGTTTTCAGAATGTTAACGTTTTCCATCCTGAATATCTAAAGTATGGGATTTCGTATTCTATTGGACATATTGAATGCTCATCTTATGCAGGAGGGTATAAGTTCGATCCGGTCGATCTTAGAGATGTATTAACTTGTTTCCAGAGGAAATAGTAGAATCCTGGGGAGCCTGGCAAATGTAGAAGGCAATGAAGGGAATCCTACTTTTCCATAGAACATTTTAGAGGACTATGTACCCTTAAAATCTCATATAGAAATTTGCAGAATGCTAGGCAGTCGATGTATTCATTTCTTTCCGTAAGAAATAATAGAAACCTACAAATTTTCTTCAGAGAAGTTTCTACTTGTTTCTATAGATAATTGTAGAAGACTAGGGAGCCTCCAAACATTATGCCTAAATTTTCCAAAGCGCTATGCAGCTCCCAAAGTTTCTACAGAAACGTGCAGATGTCTTCAATTAATTTATAGAAAATTATTGAAGGCTAGGTAGCTTAACAAAAATGTTAATGCAAATTGTAGAATTTGATAAATAGAAACGATGTAAAGAAAATTATCGAAGGCTGGGAAGCCTTCAAATTACTCTACACAAAATTGCAAAAGGCTAGGGGGCCTCTAAATTTTCTATAGAAAATTGCAGAAGTCTTAAAAAATATTCTACAAAAAAAATTATTGAAGGCTAGGTAGCTTAACAAAAATTCTAATGCAAATTATAGAAAGCAAGGGAGCCTTCAAAATTGTTATCTAAATTTATCATAAAATATTTTAGTAGGCTGGGAAGCCCTAAAATTTTCTACAAAAAATGCAAAATGCTAGAGAGCCGTTGTTGAGAAAATGAGACTACAACTACAACATATCGACGACAGGACGCGACCTTAATGTGGGGAATATGTCAAAATATGAGCTAATATCGAAAACTGTCTGCAAATATGTTTTCCCCCTGCAAGAACCCGGCGGGAAAATACGGCTAAATCCTTTGAAATACCGAAACATGGACCCATATCGGCAATTTTCTGCTAAGACGTTTATCAGCCTTCAAAATTGGAAAAAGTCGGCAAAAAGTATATCGAAAATGTGACGGGGTAATCTTTAGAAAAGGGTTATGTCAAAATATTTCCTGTAAAAATAAAAGTGTATAACCATTCAAGAAGCCGAAATCCCTAACTACGACATCTTCGGTGTTGATATTCAGAAAAAGTCTTTAAAATGTCGCCATTGGGACTGGTACTTTATACATATGTGGGTTCGCCAACATATGGACTTTTATCGAATATTTTCTCAAACATGTACCTTACGTTCCAAGAACCTGGAATGAAAAATCGAAACCACTTGCATGGGAAACTTCGATTAAATATTTTACAATACCGAAATGAAGCAGAACCTTCCTATGGTTGGTTTGACAAACCATGAAGCCATATCTAAAATTTGTTTTTAAGAATTGTTTTTAACCTCCAATAACCAGGAGTTCCAAATTACGTTAGGTTGGTGGGAAATGAGGCAATAACATTAACCAGTGAGCGGAGAAGTACAGTCGGACGGGGCCGGCCATATGATACCCTACACAACTACAAATTTGCTCTATATTTCTTTTATTACAGTCATTCGAATTAGTTGTTCAGATCGCCTTCTAAGTTGAAAAATTGTGGTGTTCGGTGTCTAGAGAAACTAGAAAAATAATGTTTTCGGTCCATTTCATCACTGAAATATCATCTGATCATCATTGAAATATATAGGCGTCGTCCTTGACCATAACCGGAACCTCATGTAAAATTTCCTACCTATCAGCGCTGAATTTACGACCTCTAGTGTGGTAAGGTTAATACTAAACAATCGGAATTGGTAGACCCCTGTACATAATTACGTATAACTCCCACATTGGAGTACCTACACCCACATAATTGGTATCAATTAAATGGTCAACCACTCCCCTTACATATACTATACGGGACCTCTATATGGGGCTATGTCACAACATAGATTCAGCCTCCAAAACTTCGGAATGACAAATTACACCCCTTTAGTTGGGAAAATGTAACTAATGTAATCCTTCAAAATACCATAAATGAAACGGTTCTGTTAAATGGGAACTATACCAAAATGTGGACCTATGTATCCCATTTATAACACCAAACATCCTAAGATTTGTAGGGAGGAATATTTCAAAACCCTATTTGAAATATTGCGATCTCGATCGTAATTTCAACAGATGGACGGATATGGAATACAAGTTTATTCTAATTATGTATATATAGGGTTATCCATTTCTTGGTTTCAAAAGTATAGGACTGGTATAGAATGCAATTTTTCGAACAAAATTATCTTCAGCGATGAACTACATTTCTCAATCGGTTGATATGTTTATAAACAAAATTGTCGAATTTAGGGTTCTAAGAATCCTGATGTAATTGAAGAGATAAAAAGTCATTGTTTGGTGACCTCTTTGGTCCATGACTTTGGACTTTTTCGAAAACGTCGATGGAGTGACTGTCACCGTCAATTCATATGATAACCAATTTTTTTTGTCTGCTTTTGGAAAATATGTGGTTTCAACATGGAAGGTTGGCGAACTTTCACATTTCACGTAGAACATTTTGAGGTTTCCTTGCTATTTAGAGTTGAAGCATTCCATTTTTTTCTATAAGTTCCCTTAATAATGCACAATAAAAATCCAGCTATGCTTAAATAAAAATTACAATTACAATTAAATATACGTATATATACACTTACCACTATGCCATGTACCATTAAATGGTTTCCATTGTAAGCGTTTACTTAAAATATCACTTAATGTTAATCTGACGCCACGTAAGCGTAAAGCTTCATCCTCTGGGAGAAAGAAAGAAAGAAGAAAATATACAAAGAATTATAAACACATATTAGACAATGGAACAAGGCACTCTCAACCAGATCACCCTCTTCTTCCCAACTTACCTGGTGATAGTAAAAATATTGAAAATATAATTAAACTGAAGACAGCCGCTATTACTAGCAGGGCAATAAATATGCCGCGCCAATTACGTCTTTCCGGTGATATGGCCACCAATTCCTACAAAGAAAGAAAAGAAAAAATTAAATAGTTTTTTAAGATACTAAGATATTCCATAATATGGTAATAATTATTATAGTTGGCTAATGTATTCCCCTTATCGATAAATAAAAAAAACACTTCAACACATTTTCACACAAATATAAAAAGTGTAGATATGTGTGTATATGTCTTCATCTGAAGATGAACACTATAGTGTTATGAAATTTGAACTTTGATGTCAAGGTCATATTGTCGGGATGTACAATCATGTCAGTCATCATATCTTTGTCTTTGTCAGTTACAAATGATTTTTATGTGTAGAGATAGATATTCGAGCAGATTATTAGATTCGTTTGTTGTTGTTGCATTCGATTATGTCATCATTAGCATCACTGTTGTCGTTATTTGTTTTATTGTTGTTAGTAGTAGTGAATAGCTGATGTTGTCATTTTGTCGCTGTTGCTATTGTTGGTTTGTGGTCTAGGAACAGATATGTTGTACATTATTGTCCTTGGTCATTAAAATCTTTTATCCTTGAAAATCAGACACTGGGTTGTAGAGTGTGTGTGTTTATAATGACATATTATTTAATGTAATTTTGTAAAGGGTGTTTGTTGGTGGGAGCAATTAGACATTTTATTATGTTTGAAGAATTGCACATGGGACATAATTTACATGGAATCGAAGGAATTTGAAATCGACGTTGGACCACACAAATGAGTCGTGGCAAATTTCACCACAATTGGATACTAAATGCAAACTTGGTTACATATATGGACGGAAGATGGGACCCTTTGTGGGGGAGCCACTAGAAGAAGTGGACTGATAAGACCCATCTTCAAAAATTAAACATTTTTGCTTAAAATATTAAGTTTTGCAAAGTTTGATTGAAATCGGATGCTCTGTTCGCATGATGTACTAAAATTAATTTTTAGCACAATTATTTTGTGGGGAAGGTACTAAAAGGAGTGGACCGATTTTCCTCATATTCGAAATTAAGTTCGAGAGTTATCGTGCACACCAACCAACAGACTGACGGACATTTGTAAAGCGACTTCAAATTGTCAGAAACGGTCCAAAGTAAAAAAAATCGATGCGGCACATTTTTGCCGTAGCATAGTGTATAAGCTCTTATAGCCATAAGGCTGAGGGTATAAAAATATGTAATAAAAATAGTTTTTTTGATTTAGGTCCACAGTTTTTACCGAATCTTATTTATAATGCCGTGACGGGTTTCATCGTTTACCCGTGACCTCAAGATCGTCGAAGTGGAATTGGTGCCCTCAACTAATAAATTTTATATACGTTTATGGTCACTCTCCACCTATGCTGGTGTGTTGGACGACCTCATGCCCATCAGTGTTTCGCCCTTTGCCTAGGCTTTACGGGAGAGACTATGCTAAGGTCAACCCCAAATCCTCATAAACGAACTGATCTATGGATGCAGAATACTACAATCCTCCCAAAAGAAATGATTTAGCTACCCTTTCGACTGATGTCTGCTTCGACATGCGATCTCTCTAATATACCGCTATTCCCCGAATGGACATCCACCGCTGCTAATATTACCACGGACTATTCTCTTGCAAACAAGGTAAATGCAAGCCTGGAGAGACAATCAGACCTTTATTGGAGCTCAAATAGTACTTGAAAAATATTAGTTTAAAAATTTACGCCAAGAGCTATGATATGGCTTGAAAAATATTCTTTAAACCAGTGAGTGGAGCAGTATAGTCGAACGGACGGTGTCCTTGACCATAACATGGAACATTCAAAGCGATCAGTGTGGTAATTGGTTAATAAAAAATATCTGAATACGTGAGCACCAGTAAATATTTAAGTTTAACTCCCACATCCGTGTACATACGACAATATAATTGGTATCAATTCAAAGGTCAACCATTCCTCTTGGATATACTATCAAATGGATGCTAATTCATTGCCCCGATCTCCATTAAAAAAATCGCGATGTTTGGTTCATAATTATAATACTATAATTATGAACCAAATATATATAATACCCTGACAACAAAGATGTGTAGGATATAGAAATCCACGTTTGGAGCTACGATTGTCCCTAAAAAATATTCTATAAAAATCCCCGTCTAGAGCTATGATAGCCCTTAAAAATTTTATATTCTTTATTGAAAAATACCGTCAATATATTCTTTAAAGTCCCTCTAAAAATCGACGATTAAATAAAATAAATCTTCACTGAACGACGAGAACGACACCATGTCTAACACCACGGTCATCAAAGTAATTCCTTCAATTCAGAAAAATGGCAAGTGAAACTGTAAATTTTGGCGAAGATGGCACCTCAATTTCACATCGACCGGTGGAATGCTGAAGCTTCCGAGGCAAAAAAAAAAAAACATGGAGGTGGTTTAGAACGCTGATGAGCTCCCCATAGGTAATGTGGAAGATTCACCAGCATCATCAACCATCAAATGAAGCATCCGACCATAAGTTTATACCTGCGATCGATTTTTTCTGCAAACGGCTTGTCGATATCATGGATAAGGAATACTCTAAAAAAGGAATCAAGATGAATCCCAAATTCATCGGAAAGATAGGTTCTGGTAATCTTTCCGATGAAACGGGCAACATTATTAGAAACATTTTGGTTTAATGAATGTAGCTCTAATTGACCCTACATTGGGGCTGGGAAATGGAGCATGGCATCTATACTCACTCAGAGTCTTCAAGGAGATTCTGGATGAAAAGAAATCGTTGGTACCATTTATCAGTGAGAAGGAAGGCGAGAGCATATTGTGATGGTTCAGAAGGAGAGTCCGCAAATAGACATCGGAAAAGGCGACACGACACAAACTCCTTCCGACAAAATAGGCCACTCATAACAATATACGAACTGCTCCACTGTTACAAAACTGTTCCAGAATTATGACAGTGATACAGCTTCTGAACAAGTCCCAACCATATAACAAAGTAGCTAACGCCTCTATATCAGCCCATTTTTAATCGGGCAAAACGTGGACCATGCTTTGGAGGCATCTCAATCAGAGTCGAAGTGCTTTAACAGTTGGTCTCAGCGCATGCAAATGTTTATAAATCAGCCAGAAGAATAATCAATTTTTAATTTGTCATTTCATTTACAACAACTCGAAAAGGAGCAGATTAACATTCTATGTCGATTTCGTCGTATCCACCAGTCGGTTGAAACCACGCAAGAGGACGCAATATTTAAGTTAGAACTTTAAAATTTTGCACATACATTACTACCAATGGGGTGGGACCAATAAATTCGGTTGAAGGGAAGTAAACACCTATGCAGAACATTTTTAATATACGTCCATGTTCAGATATAAATCACATTTAAGGATTTAGCGGAATTTCCCTCCGAAGTAATTTCGGGTTCTTCAAGGGCGGGAAACATCTTTGGAAAAAAATAGAATATAGGTTCTGATATAGCCTCAATATAAAGTTACATTCCCATGTCCGGTATATTGAAGGTTTTAGCCACATTTCCATGCAAAAGTAGCTGTAGGTAGGCATTCAGGATTCTGTGGACAAGTTTTTATATATAGGTTTATAGTTTGACATAGTCCCAAAATAAAATACCCGTCCCATTTCCAGATTTTTGGCGTAGTTTTTTAATCAAGGTGGATGCATACAGTTTTCCTGGTGGAAGAATTCCCTCTTTGCAAAAATTGTCGATATCGAAGTGGATGTAAATTGGCATTTAGTATTCCTGAAGGAAGAAAGTCACATCGGCAGGAAATTGTCTGTATTCGTCAATTATTCGAAATAGCCTCTATATATAAAAACCATCCAAATTTTAGTATTTTGAAGATTATTCATCTATTTTTCCCACAAAATTCGAAATTTCCCATATAAAATGCAATCAGTTCACATGGTGAAAAGTACAAAAATTCGATATGACCGACATTCCGACATGTTCAAATTACTCATTTAAAGTATGTTCAACTTATGCAGAGGAGCTAAGAACAATTACGCCCCCTAATATATTTCATCATTTATATATCATAAAACAAGAAAAAATAAAAACAATTTCAAAATTTGGCATCCATAAAATAGAGAAACAAATTTCCATTGTAAATAATCTGAAAATATATTGAGTAATGCAAAAAATGTGTTGTTTTTGAAATTCTGTTTTGACTTTGTTCTTCCGCCTTTACTTAGAAGATAAACAAGATTTGATTTGCACAAAGTTCATTCACATACAGACATTTTTTTATGACGAAATCAATGTCAATAGATGCTAATTTGTTATACATATAGATTTTTTATGAAAAAGTAGTACAGTGGAAATTGTTCATGACTTGGGAGTTTGGGAAGGAAACGAATTACTACGTTATATAGTAAAAATAAATACGTGTGTTCGTTATAAAGGAGTTTATGCTATATTGATGGGCAGTATATAAATATAGAATATAATACTAATATAGAGCAACAATAGTTAATTATTTTTTTATTTGTGTATCCAAAATTTGTTAATTAATCACTATCCTTTTCACATGTTATTTATAAAAATCATAACTAATAGAGTTGATGAAAATATCTATCAATTCATTTTCTATTTTTGTTTGTTTTATAAATTAAAATTTAATCAAATATAATTATCATAAAAACATCACACCAAAATATAATAACCATAACATTCATTTGAACACACATCGTCTTGCGGGTGTGTATGTGTTTCGTATGTATTTCATTGATTGATTGATTCTCTTTTTTTTGATATTTGTTTCTTTGTGGATTATGAAATATATACAAAAAAATACATTTATATAGAGTAGAAGGTGCTACGTAACTGTTGATATATTTACATATGGTCATGAGAATAAATCTATGTCAATGTCAGTCAAATCAATATAATTTATTAGTTCGAAATTCGGTAGAAAAATAAAATCAAATAAAAATATGTTTCTTTTTTGTTTTCGAAGAAATAATTTTATTGTTATTGAGAAATTTATAAAAAAATCAAGTTAATAAGAAAATTGTATTGCTGTTGTCCGGACCATCGACATCAACGC